TTTCAAAAACTCTAGGAACTAAAAAAGTGCCATTTATGTGCTGCCAGTCATTTTTATTTAAAATTGGTAATATTTATTTAAAAACAATATTAAGGCGGGGCAAAAATATTTCTTAATATTTTTGTCGGTCTGACCCAAAAAACATTTTTTAAGTTTATTAAGTCATGCAGCTTTCAACCATTGTGAAATTCATAAAACCATTGAAGCTATTAGGCTAACATACACTGACAAGATTATTTAAATTTTTGGACTTATTTATTCATATTTTTATTACTGTAAATTAGTTTTAGTCGGTCCGTGACTAAATTAGTCACAGACCGACTTGTAAGTCTGTGACCAATGATATTACAATAGTCTTTAAGCAAACTTTTTACTTTAAAGTTGGTTATATTCAATAAACAAAAGTAAACTAGAGATACTATGTTCAATAGAACAGGAACCCAGTCATTTTTTAAGAGATATCTACTGTGACTTTTAAGCTCAACTTGTGTGAACACCCCATGTTTGGTAGGAGTCTGTCTAATGCAATTGGTCAAATCATTAGTCACTAGCAATGGAAATGAAAACTTTCCCTCTCTTTGCGACAAAAGCTCATTCAGATAAATTTGGTCTACATCTTATGCATGAACGTACTAATCGCAGAAAACTCGAAATTCGTAGCTGCTATTGGCCTTAAGCGTGTGACGTCATTCATAGACAGGGTAAAAACAATTCTGAATACAAAATTTTAAAGAAAAAAAATTATCATTGGATATTTAAGAACCAGCATGGGACTTACTTGGTAAAAGAAAGCTTAATTTATGAATTGACCGTTCACCCCGAAGTTTAGCGACCTGTCGTTGCAGATTTATGGTAAAAAGAAGCAGGAAGTATACTAAAAAATAAAACACTCTAATTTTAACCTTTTTCCTATGCAAAGCATAAGAGATAGTCAACTTTGAAAGAAAAATTATCACTCAATTTTGAATTAATTGTAAAAATATGTAGATGATTATAAAGCTTAAAACATCTAATTTCATAATCCAATCACCCCAGATTGCCAAATGAAACCATTCAAATTATACAGTCGATTTTGTGAGAAAAGGGACTTTTACTGTGTGCAGTGAACTGTTTATTGAGCAGATATGTCCTCAAGGTTTGATTTTGATTTGATAGTGACCCTTGTTACTTTTGACCTGTAGGTGAAGAGTCGTTTTTCATGTTTAGAAGGTCCTAAGGACCATTTCTGGTACATTTGAGCTCAATTGGACTATTTTGAAATTTGACCCCGATGAACCATATGTAACCCTGATCCAAGACTGAGGTGTAGGAGGTGTCGCCTGTTGTTAATGACGAAATTTGATTGAATATGTGCCCAGGATGAGTCTGTGCTATGTTATTTGTGACAGAAGAAGTCTCTTATTCATTTTTTTGAAAGTTTTTTTCAATAGAACATGAACCAGTCATTTTTAAAGAGATAACCACTGTGACCTTTAACCTCAACCTGTGAACACCCCATGTTCTGATGCAACTGGTCCAATCGTTAGTCACTAGCAATATTTGATAATTTTCACTATAGTGACCCTTGTGAACTTTTACCTATAGGTGAAGAGTGGTTTTTCATATTTAGAAGGCCCTAATGATCATTCCTGGTAAATTCGAGCACAGTTGGGCTTTTTTGAAAATTTGACCCCGATGAACCCTATGTATTACCACTGATGACAGACAGGGGTGTAGGAGGTGTCACTGGTTCCTAATGATCAAATTTGATTGAATTGGTTTATTCGTTTGCCATTAGTAACATTTTGAACCTATGAACTTTGACATATGGGGTAAAGAGTATTTTTTCGTGTTTAGAAGGTCCTAAGGATCATTCCTGGTAAATTTGAGCTCAATTGGGCTATTTTGAATATTTAACCCCGATGATCTCCTATGTGAGCCCTGATCCCAGACTGGGGTGTAGGTGGTGTCACCGGTTCTTAATGACGAAATTTGAATTTTGAATTTATTACAATGGTTTGCCATTAGTAGCATTTTTTAATGTTACTATAGAGAACAAAAGAATAACCCTTTAATGACCTTTGACCGTAAATCGCTGAACACCATAACGACCCTACCTTATGCCAATACATATGTGCCCAGGACAAGACTGTGCTATGTTATTTGTGACAGAAGTCTTTTATTTATTTTTTTGAATGTTTTTTACCCTAATGACCGCTATGTGACCTTTGACCCCAAGCAGTGAAAACGAAACATAGACGAGCTCCACCACGTTCAGCTGCGAGCCTTGTCGGAGTTTCTATCCTAACTCGCCCCATTCTGTCGGTTTGTAACTGACCAAAAACCACTTTATCATGGTTCTACCAACTGTATAACACAAAGGCCTAGGCTTATACAGTTTCGTGCGTCCAATGCACACTGCGCCCCATGCTAAGCTTAATATAATATTGCTCGTCTCATGAACCTCACAGAATTGGCCGTGGGTTGACTCAATCGTATGGGGGGTAAATTTGAGAGTGATTCGAATTCTCGCGCTAGTCATTTTATATGACCGGCTGGCAACGGATTTACGCATATGCAAACTTAGCAACAACAATCTTTTGTCATGGACTAAAAACCATTATTCACTAAGTGTAGTAGCATACTATTTAAATATTAAGGCAATACGCATCTGGTAGGATAATAAAGTTCTAATGTGACAAGGAGGAGTCGCCGGTTCTTAATGACGAAATTTGATTGAATTTGGTCCAATGGTTTGTCATTAGTAGCATTTTGAAATGTTACTTGAAAGAACAAAAGAATAAACCCTTTAGTGTCCTTTGACCGTAAATCGCTGAACACCATAACGACCCTACCTTATGCCAATACATATGTGCCAAGGACAAGACTGTGCTATGTTATTTGTGACAGAAGTCTTTTATTTATTTTTTTGAATGTTTTTTACCCTAATGACCGCTATGTGACCTTTGACCCCAAGCATTGAAAACGAGAGCTGTTGACGAGTCAACGATCTGGAACAATAATAATAATAATAATAATAATAATAATAATAATAATAATAATAATAATAATAATAATAATAATATAGTAATTTAAAAGAGAACGATAAAGTCGTCCCCTGGACCCTGGATGACATACATTGGCTACAAACTTTCTCTGTTCCCTAGGAAGTGTACCTAGTCGTCCGCTATCTCTTTAGCACACGAAACTAGTATAATTATTTAATGCCACAACATCCTACCAGTTACCCATTAATATTCCTAGGTAGAAAGAGACAAACGTAGATAAAGTGCCTTGCCCAAGGACACAAGCGACTTCCAGCGCAAGAACCCCTGACTGACCTCAATGTTGGGATATATCTGTTACGAAATAATTTCGTTAAATATAGCATGAATATAGTATGACAGTGGATGGTGGGAGTATGTTTTAAGGACCTAACTGATAGCCAGAGTCTTTTAATTATTTTTTTGAAAGTTTTTTACCCTAATGACCCCTATGTGACCTTTGCCAGAAAAAAGATGAAAATTACCCCTTAATGACATTTGACCCCTTATCGCTGAACACCCTATAGACCCTGCCTTATGCCAATGTATATGTGCAAAGGACAAGACTGTGCTACGTTATTTGTGAGACATGTAGTCTTATACGATTTTTGGTTTTTTGACCCTAATGCCCCTTATGTGACTTTTGACCCCAAGTTGTGAACAACACATAAATGGGAGGTGGCACCGGTTCTACCGACCAAGTTTTAATTATATCGGTCAAGTAGTTTGCCACTAGTAGCCTTTTAAAATGTTGCCAGAAAGAAAGAAACTGCTGGGAAACAGAACCCAGTCAGCATGCTGCTGACTGGGTAAAGAAAGAAGGAAAGAAGAAACTGCTAGGAAATAGAACCCAGTCAGAATGCTGCTGACTAGGTAAAGAAGGAAGAAACTGCTAAGAAACAGAACCCAGTCAGCTGCTGCTGACTGGGTAAGGAAAGAAGAAACTGCTAGGAAACAGAACCCAGTCAGCATGCTGCCGACTGGGAAAAGAGGAAACTGCTCGGAAACAGAACCCTCAGCATGCTGCTGACTGGGTAAAGAAAGAAGAAACTGCTCGGAAACAGAACTCAGTCAGCATGCTGCTGACTGGATAATGACAAAAAAAATGGGCTTGGAAAAGGTTCTAAGGATCATAATGATTTATTGGAAAATAACAATTATTTGCTTCATGATAGAGCTCTCAACAACCACCTATTTGGGTATAATAAACCATGTGACTAAGTATTTGGAAGTCGAGTGATCAAAATCTTTAAAATACATGCTGTAGTATATCATTCAGTACAGATCTTGATTTCAATATTTAAATAGGTACTATTCATTATGCCATAAAAAAAAATTAAAAAAAACAAAAAAAAAAACAGCACGCTATTCATCTCAAAGGCGTCCTTAGATGGAAAACGGAGAATGCTAGATGGTTGCTGGGAGGATGTGAAAACACTTCCAGATACCCATAAAATGCATTTCATCATTCCAGTTCAAAAGCATGTACGATATGCCCCATGTAGTCAATTCAGTCAGTTGCAGGAATTTACTCTGAAACTCTCAGAAATAGAAATACCACGAGCAGTCAACAAGTGCGGAAACTTTTTTCCAGTGTCTTACAGAGCTGTCAATGGTAATTAAGCCACAAACATTATGTAGCATTGTTGACAGACATTGACGACTTTGAATTTCATATAACACTTTTACACCGTCAAGACAAATGTGGAAAGGTCTTTATTATAATTAGTCACAGACAAATATGGTATGTTGTTAAGATACTGCCGGCTCCATACGTGGACAATCGAGAACGTTATCATTTTTATGTGGCCATTCCTATGGCAAATCAGAGCATGTATAAAATGAAAGTTAATAGCATATTTTCTTGGTTTAATATTGCTTTTTTTCATTAAGTACTAGAGTATTTATTAACTGGGTCAGATTGATTACTATTCAAGCAATCATGATTTTGCTTAGGACTATTTTCTGTGACGTTTATTAGGTAAATAATACCTTAATATGTTAAATAATCTGCTTTTATTAAAATACAATTTTGTTTATTATAATCAATTAATTTATGTTTCTTTATATAAAATTTTTGGTAACAGGCCTTTAGCAATGAATTTTATATTTATAAAGTGTTTTCTCCTTTTAATGTGTTGATTTTCATGAAGTTGTATCAAATGTTGATTACTGTAAAACAGTTGGATTGGTGTCCGGTTGCCCTCTGTAGATATATTGTGGTTGTTGTGACACGCTTCAAACTCGTGTAGGTGTTTGTCGATTATCGGTAGGAAAACATAATGAAGACAGAATAAATCAGTGGCGTTATCGGGGTCTAACAAACCATTGCGCTCTAATTCTTTAAAATACATTTAAAATAAGAAACTACTTGATTATTTATATCGTAATTTAATCGTTCTACGCGTTCATTGACAGACGACCCAAGAATGACAGGGTTATTAATTGTTTCTCCTCTTTCTGCAAACATTTTCCCCCAAACACCTTGATTTTAACCACCATGATCCGACCTCACTCGTATAGGCAAACCATACCGGTTAACCGCCGACTCAAATAATCTCAACACAGTTTCAGCAGTGTTGTTGTCACTACAATGCAGGTAAGTAATCAATCGGGAAAATCCATCAATGCCGGCATGTATGACAAACTTCCACCTAATCATTTTGTGTGTCCCATCTATATGCCAGAGGTAGTTCGGGCATGGAACAGAATAAATTCGTCTGGTGATAGTTCTCGTTCGTCTTCTCTGTACCCCGGTTGGGTCGACAGCTTGTAATGCTTTCCAAAGGCGTGCGCGTTGAATTCTGATACCTCTTGATCTGAGATGACCCATGAGATTCACCTGTATCAGACAAAAAAAAAATCGAGACATTGAAATTTGGCAAAAACGTTGACATTAATGTATTTATAAGGTCAGGCTATCGATCAGGCTATTTGTACAGGCCAACTCGATGTAATATTCTAAAGTGAAAATAGAGGGAAAACGACCGTTTTGAGATAAAATAATAGGCTATGTTGATTGAAAAAAAAATCAGAATTTTCCCAAAAGCGATGTGGGAGGTGGGAGGGGGTGGTGTGGTGATAAACTAATAATTTTTTATGGGGCCTAATGACCTTCTGTTTCAAAAAGCTGGTCAAATTATTTTATATTTCTTCATCACTTTAAAACAAATCTGCCGTGTAGGCCTATCTGTTTTTCGATACATTCTCATTGATATATTGAAATATTGTTACTGTATCTCAAAAGTCCAAGAAAAAAATTTTTCCCATTTTTGTCTGATAATTTAGACAAAAATCTGGCGGCCGCCACATAATTATCTGGCGGCCGCCAGTTAACTGATTTTAAATTTTTATTCACTGTTGACACTAACGAGCTTCCGTAATTGTCTGGCAAGCTCACGATTTATGTCTCTGTTAAGTTGATAGCCTAAACACATGGCCGGCGGAAACGGGGGGGGGGGCGCCCCCCCCCCCCTCACTTTTTGGCAAAAAATATATAATGCCTGGAAATGTTTGTATGACTGGAAAGAAATGCAAGAAAAGAGAATGTTTATCCAGTTCCCGACCGAGTTAAATTTTCTCGCAATTTCCATTGGCGGATCTGGAGGAGGGGGTCATCGGTCCTGACCCCTTCCTTGGGCCAAAAAAGGGGAAAAAAGAATTCTAGACCTAACTTTTCAGGACCCGTGAGCTGAGTTTTTTTTTTTTTTTTTTTTACACTTAAGAAAATTAGAATTTTGAAGAACATAAAAGTCATTAAAACACAATTCAAATGTCGAAAAAGCTCATTTCCCGCCATCTAGGAATCACAATTTTCCAGGGGGAGAACCCCCAGACCACCCTTTCTTGTTGGGATTTATCGATTCATGGAAAAAATACTGTATGCAACTACTCATTTTTTTTTTATTATTATGTATACACACATAAGGCCTATTTAATTTCAAAGCAATGGGAAAAATTACCTGACCGTTTTCAAGAGGGAAAAACCTTGAATTTTGAAGAACTTAAAAGTAACACCTCAGAAGGCGGAAAAGCTCATTTCCCGCCATCTATAGGAATCAAATTTTTTCTTTGGAGCTTATCGATTCATTGAAAAAAGAATACCGTACTTAGGCCTACGCAACTACTCATTTTTTTTATGTAGGTTTACACACATATCAGGCCTATTTACTGTAATAAGTATGATAAAGTTTACCTGACCATTTTCAAGAGGGGGAAAACCTTGAATTTTGAACAACAAAGTCAAGAAAAGTCATTTTCCGCCACCTAGAAATCAAAATTTTCCAGGGGGAGGACACCGGACCCCCTAGATTTGATTCCAAATCTGCATGATTCATATTCCCATTCATCTTATAAGTGCCCCCCCCCCCTCTTTGAAAAACGTTCCGCCGGCCCTGTAAACGGTAAACTTTCCTCGCCTGCATTGGGGTGAGACTTCTTAATTTCATCGACAACCATTTCAAGTTCTTGATTAGTGATATCAGTATACTTAGAAGGTTCATGGCTATTACGGTTGAGATGTCTGTAAACTGTTGTACGACTCACTCCGAAAGCCCTCGCTATATACAGTATCTGCCATGGTAAACTGGAGTTTTATCATTTCCTTTGCACGTTCAATGTCGAATTCGATTTCGGGTCTCCCTGCCATCTTCTGCAAAAAATATTCCAACATATTCTATTATGCTTTTTAGATATTTCTGACTTTAAATTTTTTCAACCAAAGAATAAAATGGTTGGGGTAAAAAAATACTGAGGTGGGGCGTAGAAACCAATCTCCCCCTCCTGCATCCACCCCTGATAGCCTATAAACGATAATTTAAAAAAACTGCATTTTTTAACAATTTCAGGCTCAAAATCATCTTTCGTTCTTATGACACAATATTGTGTACGCTTTTCGAAGATAGGACAGTCTGTATTGCTAGGTACATAGTCGTACACAGGTTATTTCTGCCTCATTGTAACCATAAAGGTTCTTATTAAAAGCCAGCAATACTGATACTATGATTAACTGAGTATTAGTGTGATAATAAAAAAAAAACATAATAATACACGTACTTTATGCATTAACAATGTTTCAGTAACGTACTTACCGGTAGGATCTTCCAGACACGTGGTGTAAACTTTAGCCCAAATCACAGATTACTATAGTAGTATATAATCTCAGGCCCAAATGAAGCTCTTAAAAAGAGGTCTTAAATGTTCGGAGCAGATCGGAGCAACTGACACCGTAGTAGAAACGATATTCGGAAACTATGGTAATTTTGAAGACGTAGCGTTGCTATGGTGATGAAGTACTTTAGATTATTCCTGGTATTAGGTTAAACCAGCAGTTCGTTATAAATTGAAAAAGCAAATGACCTCATTAGTCAGACCTTGGAAGAATGGTCAGACACATCAAGGACTAATAATAAGTGAAAACTTGGCCCACGTCAAGTGTTCATTGAATGGCCAACGAAAATAGGCATTGGTTTTTTCGTTATATATTTATATAATATTTTATATAATATATAATATTTTATATAATATATAATATTTTATATAATATATAATTTTTGTATAATATATAATTTTTTACATAATATATAATTGTTTATATAATATATATTTTATATAATATATAATTTTTTATATAATATTTATTTTATATATTTATATATTTTTTATATATTATATAATTTTTTATATAATATATAAAAAAATATATATTATATAAAATATTATATAATATTTAATTTTTTATAAATATATAACGTAAAAAACCATGTCATTTTGGCTAAATAATAAGTGAACAGATGGCGCCTCATAGTTTTTGACATAACTGGCACACAATATTCAGCTTCGCTGTCCGATCGGGGGATTAGGCATCCATTTATTGTACTCGTATTCAGTGTGACCACTGCTTGGGTATTTACCCAAGATCTTGGGTATTTTGACTTGGTCTTGGGTTCTTGGGTATTCCGTTCTAATCCTTTTGTATTTTATTTTTACTAAGACCATTAAATATTTTTGTCACAGAGGACGAATTAAGAAGTAACAAAATAGATTTCAGTCCATTCAAGTAAGTAAAACTCAACAAAGTGCACATAACATTGTTAATTGACTGTTAATTGCTATAAACATGGGTTCAAAATCGTTTATTTGTGATTTGCGTTGACATTGATCTTACCTAATTAATGCATTACATAATAAAACTTGATCACTGATCTACTGATAACACTGGCCGACTGAGGGCGTATTTTTCTATCCGTATTATCACCTTATGAATATTAGTTTTAATAATTAACACAAACAATTACAATAAAAAATGGTTTATAAATTGAACTAAAAGTTAATCTATACATGCGTAAAACACGTTGTTTTCAAATTTTAATGCATTTTCAGGAATCTTGGGTAATTTTGGGCAATTTTTGCTGAATCTTGGGTAATTTCGACCTAGTTATTGGGTATATCAAAAATTGTGAGTGGTCACGCTGCTCGTATTCCGTTTCCCTGACATTTTCGCTTTCAGAATTGTCCTGGTATCACACCATCATCAGTGGCGTGTCTAGGGGTGGGCG